TCGGCGACTCAGTCAAGTCTTTGAATTCTTCCAGCAGCTTGGCAATTGTTGGATCTGTGGAACTGTCCTTTTCCTGGGCCTCAGTGACAGGTCTAACATAAACTACAAAGACCTGGTCTTCTAACTGCTCCTTTTTGACCAATCGCGCGAACGTGGGAGCACTGAGACAGCAATGTGCCAAGGTGTTGTCTACACCCGACACATGGAACAAGCGGGCAGTGTTAACTTCGCCTGCCGGGCTAGGGAGCCTACACTCATGCTCTCTCAAATGAAGTGTGGCCCCTGCTGCCTCTCCCCAATCCATTCCCAACACTATATCAAAAGGAAGGTCATCTTGCACGAGGAGAGTCAAAGAATGGAGGACCTTCTCCGCTTTTTCATTTTTCTCTAGGCGAAAGTACGCCTGGACTCCCTCTACGTAGTCCTCAACGCGCATCGTGCGGTTGTCTGCGAGGACACTGACTATGGGGTAGCCCCTGAGTCTATAAGGGCCCCTACTCTACTTCTGAACACCTCTACATCTACCAAAATAAGTTGTCCCTTACTCTCCCTTTTCATTTTGGCCCAGGCTGGCATTCTCTCTTTTAACTCTTCTGCCACACCTGTGAGGGACGTGCCTAAAGAGACGCTAACACAAGTAGTCTCTGGACAGCTATCTAGGAACGGGCCTGCAACCTCTGCCATAGGCTCATGTGGGTTGGGAGTGTCCTGTTCGCGCGCGCTCACTTCTCCACATGGCCTGGAAGTAGGGGCAGTTGCGACCCCTACTGGCGGCTGCCTTTTGACTGCTGAGCAGCCCAACGAGCCTGTCTATACTTTGGACAAAATTTTATTACATGCGGCGGGTCACCACAGAATACGCACTGACCCATGTTCACGCGTTCCTGCCATAATCGCTGGTCCAAGCCCAAGTGTTCCCAGGGCCTGCCCTGCGGCAAGCCTGGGTGCCATCCTCCTTGAGGCGCCCTTCCACCTCCTCGTTGTGGGGACCGGTTACCCTGGCGATTTAACGGGGGACCTTGACCCCTACCTCCTGCTTGGCGGTTTCCCTGTCCGCCAACCCCCTGTGCGCCCGGTCCTCGGCCTCCCATGGCCTGCCCCTTTGGCCCTGGCCTCCTCCTCTACCTTGCGGCCTCCCTCCGGCCGCGACAGCAGCGTAAGACCTCCCCTGCCCTACACTACTGTACTCCTCCCCTAGGCCCCACTCAATCTGATCATATGGGACCTCTTCTGTACCACCCTCCTCTAATGTCAGGATCCAGTGATCCTTGGCCTTGACTTGGCCCGAGATGGTACGATCTTTCCACTTCTTTCCCTTCTCCAGGTCCTTGTGCCAAAAAGTGGTAACTGGCATAGACTTCGACTCATACAGGACGACTTCTCTACTCAATGCATCGTAAGTCATGCCGGCCTGCTGAGATTTGTCAAAGAAATGCCCGCGTAGGGCCTCTGGAATGGCACGATAAAACAACTAGACCAACTGGGGCTCAGTGAATCCGTGGTCCGGGACGGCTACCAAGTCGTCCATGGTACCCTTGAGTGCCTTGGCACTCCTCCACTGGTGGGAGTGGATCATTTGGAGCTTATCAGAGGCTCTAATGCCTCGCGTTGGGTCAGCGAACCGCTCCTTGAGGAGCTTGAGGAATTGGGAAAGAGGAGTGACTTTGGAATATACAACCAGGTTGTTTTCACAACCGGCTGTACGCGCGAGAGACCTGGCGAAGCTAGCCGCTTCGTCCTTCAGGGCCTGGAAGGCCACGAGGACTTGCTCCTCTATCAGGATATGTTGTAAATAAATGT